GACCGTTCCAGACAAACCGACGATCCATGTTGATCCGTGGGTGTCATCAACGTCTGGTTCTTGGTTCGGTCTCTAAAATTCACCTCCCGCTGCTTGCCACCAGCCCCCAAGGAAACCCAGTCCTTTTTTCCCGCACACACAACAAAGACTAAGGGGCTTCAACGTCATAACACTCCATGCTTGCCTTTTGCGGTCCAGAGGGTGAATTCCCAAACGGACACACCCAAATGTTCCCATTCCATTTGGAAAAAAAGAAACATGTTCCAGAGGCCGCTCCTGCTCTTTCTGCAGCATTGGTTGTGGATCATGTTCATCCATGTTCGTCCATGTCTCTCCCCCGCAAAAAAAAGGCCCGACGCTGTGGTCGTTGGCGCCTGCAGCCGCCCCCGCAGCGACAGCCTCTGCAGGACCGCCTCGGGGGGTTAAGGAGGGCGGCCCGCCTATCACGGCCCGCCTGTGAGCCAGTTGGACTGAGAATCAGGATGGCGGTCAACAAAAGGAGTATGGTCCTATGAGGCTCTTTCTTTGGAACTATTTGGAAGTGATTTGGGTGCATGCCTGGAAGAATGGACATGGAAAACGATGTAAGATCCAACTGATCAAACCCACCAAGGGCTCATCAAGGCTGAAGGTTTTGGTGGCCTTCGAAGCCCTCATGGTTCGAGCTTCTTTTCGGCTGAAGCGCTGGGGTTGCTGTGCTGAAGAAGGAAACCTTTTGTTTATTTTTAAAGGCCTTTCCCTCCCAGCACCTGCGAACGGAGGCGAATCCTTTTTGGGACCGACTACCGGATTGTCGAGGGCACCGAGTATTCAACTACCTCATTTGGAGGCTTGAGAGAGGGACCGGGAGGGAGAACTCAATCTTCCAAGTTGTGACCCTTTAAACCCATTGTTTTCGAAGGCCAAGTTGAGATCTCTCTCTCTCTATCCCCAGTCAGAGTAATCCCTTGAAACAAAAAAAACGTTCATGGTGGTGGCGGCCAAGTTCATTCGAAGGCTGCAGGGGTGTGCTGAGCTTCACTGTATTATGATGTTCCGGTGTTTTTTTCCGTAGCTCAAGACTTCCAACATTCATGACATGGTATGTGTATGTATTTCGAAGCGTGCCAAACCTGTCGGCCCCGAGTTCTTCTCCATTCGCAAACAAACTGAGCGCGCAGCCAGGCAGTGCATATGGGTGAGAGTCCGAACTTAGCACAAGCCGGTGACGGCTCCACGTACTCAGACTCCTGGTTCAGCCTACCCAAGTAGTGGGTTTATATAGGGATTGGCCATAAAACCTAGAGTTCGGAGGGGTTCTAGTTCCTCCTCTTTTTCGGAAGGACCAAAGGAAGACGACTGGCACCCCCCATCATCAAAAAAGAAGCTCTTGAGCCAAAACAAGACTTTGGTAGAAGACACTGTAGCAGATTGTGGTTCTTTGGCCCACTTCGAGGATCCCGGCGAGAGAGTCTCTCAGATACATGCGGACCAGTTTGGAACAAAGCATTCCCTCTTTGTGTGATGGGTTCACATCGCGAAACATCTTACAGGAAAAGTTAACAGATCACAAAGGAAAACATGTCACAGGAAAACCACCTGTTTGTAGAGGATCAAGTGTCCGAACCTGTGGTCCATGTGACCCAGTTCGACTCCGGTGTCGATCCGCACCCGTCACCCACTCTCTTCTGGACAGGAAGAGGATAGAGGGAAGATGACATCCGGAGCGGGCGGACTCCAGTCTCTTTCAGTGCATCAGACGAGCAACAGAGCTTTTGGTCCAAGTTGGGCCATCCAACCAAGACATATGATACCAGACTGGTTTTCCTCTTCTTCAGCTGTAAAAGAAGAAATGCATTTCATCGCCTGATTTGTATGTCAGAAGTCCCAAGGGAGAATTGAATTGAACCCTCACACTACCCAGATGCTCCGTTGAAAAGGCCTAGATCTTCTTGTTGTCACAAATCTCCAACTCATCACCACGATTTCCAAAGGAGTGGTTTCCAAAGGCTAGCTGTAGGGTTGCCCATTCTCCACTCAAACTTGGGGCCATATGGGTTGGCCTTTGCAAAAATTTCCAACTGTGAACACCTTCCGGAACCCGTAAAATATCTATTCCAAAAGGGGGTCACCCCTTTCGACCAAATCAACCTCACCCTTTCACCGCAAAACCATGTCTGCGTGTGAAAAAACACCCAGGTCGCACCCAACCAGGGAAACGCTTCATCTCCCCAGGCGTCCTTGGTGCCGGGCGTGCGGTGCTGGCCACCGAGATCAAAGCACTGATGCAGCCAGTACCCTGGGCCTGGCAGGACTCGACGGTACACCGCCGGGCACTTCTGCCAGATAGTTGACATGGCGTGTGAAAAGAAAAGTGCGTGAGCAAGAATTTGGACATCAGCACAACCAGATATATATTGCCACACAAACCCTTTTGAAACAACGCATACTAATACATACTAATACTACAGTACAGCTCATTCATTCAGAGCTTGCATTGAGCCTTGAAACTACTTATGACTTGGCCGCACAGGCGTCGTAGTTTCAAGGCTCAATGCAATGCCTGTGTGGCCAAAGGCCAAAGCGGCCAAAGCGGCTAAAGCTCAAACTGCACTGGTCTCTTTGGATGCCAGTGTAGATATGACCGGCCCATGTTCAGCAGGTTGGGAAGGCTCAATCAAGTCTTGCTGGAGAAGTTCTAAAGCAAGCTCGCAATCCAAGAAACCGCAACGAGGAGGTTACCAGCTCTTGTAACGAGGTGTCAAAGAGCAAGAGCTCCTGTTGCGCGTTGAAGGCAAGTCCGAGTCCAGAAGGTGTTATTTTCGCGTTTTTTTGGACCGAGCGCCAATCCCAGAAGCTCTGCTGAGCCAGGTCACTTGTAGCTCCGCCTGAAAAATGCGCCAGGCCATTCTTGAAGAGGACTCGGGGCCCATTGCTTAGCTCCCAGCTGCATCGCCACAAATCCGCCTATCCTCGTACCGAGTTCGTGTCGACGTGAAGAACGGGAGACCCATGAAGGCGCGGAAGGACGTGCTTCCATGAAGATCCGAAGTCTTTCAAGCCGCAAGGCAGGCACACTCTGACCCACTCTGAAAACAGGGCTCAACAACTCCAAGGATACGGTGATAGAACCGTTGCCCTTGACGCTGCTACTGGTGCAAATCTGCAAGAATCTGCAAGAAGGATCTTGCAGGACCACGGGGAGAGTTCATACCTTCGCAGCATCTCTTGATGAACGCTCCCACTGTTCCTGCAACATCTGCCACTTGCAGACCTTCTTCAGGTCACACCGAATGACCTTCACTTGCAGATCTATCTCTCAGTCCTTCGGTCACCTCACACTGACAAATTGTCCCGAAAGAACGCCGCTTTCGTCTGCCCAAGCTATTCAGGGTCCTAGGGTCCTGAGCATCGTGTCGTGTCGGCGAAGCACGTGGGCACAATGGTTTGGTAAATCCTGGCCTGCTCTGACCACCATTTCTGTAATTGCCTGGTCTCCTTTTCATGCTGCAAAAAGCTCGTTCTCATTCTCCACACCAACGTCTCCAAGCACTAGCTGAACATTATGTTCTGCGAAGTGTAGAACAAACAAATTGATAGACATGTCTGTGCTTGTCTGGGTGTTTCCCTGTGTGTCGCTCGCTGATTTGCCTTGAGCCAGCTGCTGAGCAGCTACTGGGTGGATCGGATCATGTGTGGAAAAAGATACCTAGATTGAACCCTCACGCCACATGCAGTGCCTGGAAAATGTGAGATTTGGATCTCCAGGGTTCGGTTCTTGCGGTATTCGGATGTTTCCTTCTCCAATCCCCAGCGACACTGTCCATCCATGCACAGACCTTTGCAAGTTCCCAAGGGAAACGCTTCAGAAGGTGGACCATGTTCAACTATATATGATTATATATATATATATATTTGTTCATATCATCTATGAAAAGAATTCTGGGAACACGTCTCAATGGAGTGTGTGTCACGGGTCGGACCGTGACCTGTGAACTCAACCCCCCCCTTCGACCCTGCACCTCGGCGGCTTCGATCTCACGTCGGCCCACCACCTGCGAGTTTGGGGTCGGGAGCAACGCAAAGTCCGCCAAGTGACTTGGAGACATCTTGGTCTCTATGGAGACCGTTTTGAAGGAAAACCCGTGGTTTTGACCGTGACATCTGAAAAGCAACGAAAAAGGTACTCATGACTAATTCGTCTCGTCTCCGTTTCGTCCTCATGGTTACTTGGTGGCGTGAGCCCTGGAAAGACAAGGACATCCGATATCAAACAGGGGGTGAACTCCACAAAAAAATTGTTTGTTGCCAGGGAGTGTACTCACCTTCTGCTTGATGGAAGGACCTCCTACAGCACCTGAGATGTATTTCCGGGTGGCTTCCAGGTGGTGCTTCTGAGTGCTTCCACGGGAGCTAGAAAAAGAGGGTGTCCGCTTGTCAAAAAAAATCCGTATGCAAAACCTCAGCCGGGTTGATAAAAACTAGACTATCGTTATAGCTGGCTATGCACGGACCATCCCGACCATCCCGACCGTCCCGACCGTAATGCCCAAGCGTCTTGTCGACGCTGATCCCTAACCAACGCTGATTCGGCGAAGTCGAAAAAAAACTATTCCTAAGTAATTATAGCTGGCTGTGCACGGACCGTCCCGACCATCCCGACCAAGCGTTGCCGACGCTGATCCCCAACTAACGCTGATTCGGCGAAGCCGTATAAAAACTATTCTTACTGTCGTTCTAACTGGCTGTGCACGGACCGTCCCGATCATCCCGACCGTCCCGACCATCCCGACCGTCCCGCTAGAATCTGATCCTACGACGCTGATCCGGCCAATTAGAATCTGATCCCAGACGCTGATCCCTGACGCTGATCCGGCGAAGTCGAATCTGATCCGGCAATTACCCTCAATTCCCATAGCACAATAGTAGCAATGGTTGCCAGTGAAGTCAAAGGATGAAAATAATGCTTACGAAGACTAAGATAGACTAAGTTGCTGGTCTCACCCTTGTGCTTTGAGCATCAAGTTTGACTTCACAAGTACTCCGCAAAAGAACCAAACTGCTAACGCCCCAGAAGGATCTCTGCCGGGCCCCACACCGGTTTTGGCCGCTCGTTCGCTCCCGGCGAAGCGAAGAGGGCTAAGCGGAGCTAGGCGGAGCTGCCGTTCACTCCTCCTTAAACTCGCAGTTCGGCAAGATATGGATCCGCCAAGCTGGTAGGATCATCCTGAGACTGAGGTCGCGAGGCACTGGAAGAAGAGACCTGTGGGTTTCAGCTGCATGATATGCGTCATGATGTAGGTGGAGTCCGTGTGATTGCAGATGAAAAACATTGGCCCTCTCCTTTGTTCATGGGCACTGTCCATGTGGGTGCAGTCTTTCCCCGAACATTCTTGCGGAACCGGTCAATGCATCGACGGATTCTGGAAGAACACCACCACTTCGGAGATAAAGAGATCCCACTCCCGTTGGCATCGGCTTCTGCATCGGCTTCGGCCAACCCACCTGTCTCCACAAACAACACCTCTGGAGAGTCTGGAGAGTCTTAAGTGTCTTAAAGGGTTTTAATATGTGAAGCTAGAACCAATCCGGATGGTGGCCTCTCTTCTAGCTGGAGCACTAGCTTCAGAGTGCCTTCTCAGCTCAGCCTCCAATGAGGTCCTTTCATTTGGATTTCTTGGGTTGACAGTTGACAGTCATCTTTTGGATCACAGTCAGTAGCTAACAGCAAGTAAAAAAAAAACATCACCTGCAAGTCTGGTGCATGCGAGAACTTGTGATCATATTCGACTTATGGGGCAAAGGACTCAATGAATGTCATCATGTCTTGTCGTCATGGAATCTCTTGCGGGCCTCCTCTTTCTTTTCAGCACGTTCTATCCAACTTCAGGCAACTGCTCGGTCCATGTGTCACAATAAACCATCTGCATCTGCCGGCAGGGTGATGGAAACTTCCTCCCAAATCTGACCAAATCCCACTCAAAATCTCTTCGTGCCAAATATGATCCCCAAATAGACCCTTTGACTCACTCCATTCATCCTAAATCCACACTCGGCCACTCACCCCCACTCAAGTCCGGCCCCAGTCACCCTGCCAAAAGCGCTGCCAGCACCACCTCAGCAATGTGCGGCGGCAAGATCCTCGGTCGATGTGCGGTCGGAGGGGAGGTGGAAACCTCAGGTCTAAAAGACGGAAGCCCCGACCGGGGGCGTTGATGCGGGTTTGTCACTGTTGAAGAAAAACAGGTGGAGACCTGTTCTGTCTCTCTTTCTATTTTGACCCGAGGGCTGTAAGGAGCCCGCATCCGAAAAGAAGGTGGTTGGGCTGGTGGGGTCCAACTTTCCCACCGAAGAGGAACAAATTCCGCTGTTAGCAATGGCATGGGGATGTCCAATTCTTCCATGGCTTAGGGGGGTTGACTCACAAGTTTCGACTTCCATGGTCAACCGGGCTTAGGGTGAGTGAGTTCCGGGATCCAGGTGCCGTCTTAGGCTGTACAGCCACGGCTTCACCGTGGAGAGCGGACCCGCGTCGGTGGATCAAGCGGCTTATCAGCGGTCGTGTGAGGCGGCTTTGCAAGTTTAGAGAGGTGTATTGACCATATAGACCATACAAACCATACATAGTTCATCCTATCACCAACCCTTCAGTTGATCGGTTGATCTATCTTTAAGAAACGCGGGCTACAGTCCATCATCTCCCCTTCATCGAAACAAGTCTTTTGCCAACAATCTCTTCCATTGTGCCCCAGCGTCTTCAGCCGTTCGCAAGTCTTGCCCACGCAGCAATCAAAGGCCTGGAACGCCACATGCCAGCAAGGCGGCTGGTCTCAGCTTCGAGGTCGACATGGTGGGTTCCCACGTCACTGGACCCGTCAAAATAGACTTGTCAGGATTTCTCTGGTCAAGTCCTCACCAATGAAGCATCATCCGCAGATCCAGTGAATGCCAAAAAAAAGGTCCTGATCCATTCACCCCCATCCACAGAAAAAAAAAGAAGAAACTCAACCTTTCGCCACCTTGCCACATCTCTTTCCACCCACGCCTGGGGTGGTTGGGAGGAAAATCTCCTGTAGGACACGCCAACCCGCCTCACTCACACCATCCGAACGTTCTTCGGCACCTTTCGCCAGGCTGACTCCGGAGCCGGAGATCCCTGGAAAAATGGAACCTGAGTGTCCACCTGTTTGATTTTTGTGAGTGGGGTCTCCTCAAGTTGACCCCCAAAAAAGGAATGCTTTTCTAGGTGTTTCAGGATGTTTCAGGTGGTCCACGAGCTTCGCTGGGAGAGAAACTTCCTTCCAAGGATGGAACATCCCTCCAAGGACTCGATGTGAACCTCCCGCTGCATCAGCCTAGCCTGTTCCCAGCTGAAGCCGACCAGAATGGCCATGGCCTGCAATAGGCACAAGCCGAATGAAGGGCATCTATGGTTCATAGACAGAATGTGTAGGCTTTTGTCACATAGGCCTCTGTTCATGAACTGTGGTTCATAGGCTTTTATTTCTGTACAGAATTTAGATACATTTAGGGATATTGAGTGTAAGGCGTAAGGCTAAGGCTCTATGCGAGCTACTTGACCGACGCTTCACGTGAGGTCGGTTCACAAATCCCTAGGCTTCGCATCTGACAAAATTGAAGTTCCTCCTACTTTCTGTTTTCAAGAGCAAGTGAATCCGATCCAAGCACTGCAAAAAAATGGGAACTGTTGCACCTATTGCTGCACCTGCACCAAGGCAAGAGTCCAACCATTCAAGCACGCGTGTGCGCGGAGTGCGTGCTTAGCAGCAAAAGGCCTGAAACAGCATCGATGTCTGGCCTTGATCAGGGTCTTTGAGCCCTGGAGGACTAAGCTGTGCTCCAACTTCTGGCAGGTGAGCTGCACGTTGTCCGCAAAGCCTTCGTCGACGCACCGTGCGGCGAGGACGGAAGGCCCTGGGCTCTTCACCCGAACCGCAGCTCGGGGCAAACGGGGGTGGAGAGCAGATCCAGGATGTCTTCGGAGGCGAAAAGCATCAAGCTGTCGGGTACACTCGGAACTGGAAGTGGATAGCATGGCTCTGTGGAAGACGATTAAAATCCTCTACAAACAGGGAGGTGAACTCCACTTCCATGTGAGTTTCATGGAGAGCCTCTGCTGTTTCATCCCAATCAACGGATGGCCTTTCCACCCGTTCCACTAGTCCAAGGAGCTGAGTGACCTGGAGGATGACCTAAGCAGTCCAAGGCGTGGTCAACGCACCACAAGATCAAGACATCGGAGATCATTGGATGAACCATCGAAGAGACGATTGAACATCCCCAATGGTGGAGGTGAAGATCATCAAAACTCTTCAAGTCATTCTGCCGGTTCATCTTCCATGGAAGAATCTAGAGAAGATTTAAAAAAAACAAAAACAATTGGCACGCTTCATTTTATTCATCGTCCTGTTCATCAAACCGTGTGTCAAAACATCGCCAAAACAACTCTGACTCTTCCTTGCACAGTCATGGCTCAACAAATGTCATCCATTGAAGGTCGATTTGCCACAAGGGGAAGCTGCAGTTGGTGGAAGTGTGGTTTGTATCGGGGGATCTTCCCCCACTAAGTGGGAATGCAGCGCCGCTGAGATTGCTGTTCAAGTGTGTGCAAAGCTGTGCATTTGCATGCATATGAGCATAGGCCTATCTTCATTGGGGAATCCTCTTGATTTTTGTTGAAAAGACCACAAACCACCTGAAACGCCTTTAGTCATGAGCATCTCCGATCATTGGAAGCTCAAGCATCCAGGATGCCTGGATTCGCTCTTCTTTCGATACATTTTGGGCCGCAGCCTCAGCCAGTGTGAGCAAAAGGGTGCAATCATGGTCATGAGTCATTACCACTGTACCTGGAGCCAGGAGAACCCATGAACAAGTCCATTAACTGGTTTTGGTTGCCCAGGCGGTCAAAAGGGTTGTACTATGTACATAGCTAGCTCCATAAACAGTCTCTGGATTGCAAGACAATTCATATCAACATGCTTTGATGATCTTTGATGTGATGTCTTGTCCTGACCCCCGGCCTGCTCCTTTTCGCTCACGCAGTACATGGAAAAGTTCTTGTTTTGCGCTGCCTCCTTTTCGGCGGGGGAGAGGTCCAAGTGATGTCCCAGCCATCCTTTCCAATCAACTTTCAGCACCGGATCGCCAGGGTGACCGCATCTCTCGAACCCGCTCTGGCCGAGCGGCGCCGCAGCCGACTTCGCTTCGGACATCTTTTGTTGGTCCACGACCTGAGGTGAACCGGACCAAAAGGCGTCGTTTTCCAAGGAATGTGCGAAATCTCACTCCAAATTGACAATTTTGTTTAAAACAAACTTAACGCTACGTTTTTGGGGGTGGCTCATATGTTGAAAAGGGGGACAAGGACCATCCATTTTGAGGTGTCCAATAGCCCAGCAGGCGTGGAATGGGGGGATGCAAATCGGGCTCTCGATATTGGAGGGATGCTCTGAGTGCCATGAGGTCCTCGCTTCAGAATTGGCACAAAGGCCGGTAAAACTGAGACGTGCCCCTTGCCAACATCCCTGTACTGCTCATGTCACATGTCGATCAACTCTTCAGCTTTTTGGATCCATCCCTCTGTGGATCCATCTGACAGGTGCGAAAGCGCCTCAGGATTCATGCCTGAGGCGCGTACCATGTTCATCATCAAGACCATTCCAAAGGCCTCAGCACGAAGTCTCACAATGCGGCACAGAGAGGATTCCGGTGAACACCAACCTGAAAGCACTACACACTCGGTGGGTGTAGTTCATCTGGTGTCACCTTGCTTGGATTCATGTGGGGTACAAATGAGACATCCAAAATCATCCAAATACCCATGGCTTTTTGGAATACTAGGTGGTTTTTTCTCAAGGATTCAGTCGAGCTTCCACCACGGAGAAGATGACGGCAAGGACAATACCTCACTGGATCGCCAAAGAAGCTTGAACGAGAGCAATTGCAGCATACAACTCCTGTTCCCGTGCTTCCTGAGTAGCCACAAGTGCATCCCACCTAACATATGATCAACTTGAGGGGAACAAAGACATCCTTTCCGATGCGATCGTTTGTGAAGGGTCGTTGGCGGGATCCTCCGAAAACTTCCGGAGTTTGCGGCCCATGGTCTTCCGCAAGAGCTGTTTGTTGGGCATGCAAACCATGTGTCCCAAAAATGGTTGAGATGTATCTCTAAAAATAGCCCCTTAAAGGTGACTCGGGATGTCAATTGACCAACACAAAACCGGAGCCTGGTATACTACATATACTGTAATATGTCGCATATACATATATATATATATATATAGTAATTGGCATATACTGCACATAATACTATAATGTACGCATGTTGAGATATTATACATATATTCTGCACGTATCTATATATTATATATATAATTGTCCAGAGTAGCAATCGGAAAATCGCCACATGCGGCCCATCGGAAAACCGAAGATGCGTTCCTGTCGTTCTCATGGCTCGTTGCCGCTTGGGGTTTCAGTACTTCGAGTTTTAGTTGGTTGTCCTGTGTTTTAACAACCCAAAAGTCCCTCTTAAAGTAAAACAAAAAAAACAAACACCCGGCAACCAGCAATCACGATGAAAAAATGGTCGTTGGATTTCCACCCTGCTCTCTTTTCGGTCGCCAATCCACAACGCGAGGAGACCACAACCACGACAGGCGACGCGCAATCATCTCGACCACATGATTTCCAACGGAGGAGGCGAAGAAGAGACGTTTGCCCCCTGAGTTGTCGGGGTGTCGTGTGTGCGTGATACAGATCCAGACATGGCTTCTGTGTTTTTGCTTCAAAAACCCTTGGTTGGAATGGATGTCACTTCATGACGGGTTGAGGAAACAAACACAAACTATACTAGACAACTATCATTGATGATCATGATTCCGTCTTCGTGGCCTCGGCCTCAAGGGTTTTCCTTGGCTTATGTTGCTTCGTTTTCATGGCGTGATGTGACATGACGTGACCCCGTCGATGCCAAGGGGCCGAAGTAACCTCGGCGCACGGCGCACGGCGCGGCAGCGCGGAAGCGCGGACGCGGTGGGGTGCCATGGATGGCAGTTCTGGGCCCAGTTCGGTCTGGAAAGGTTTCATGAGTTCAAGGCCGAGTTCAGCGGAAGGCAAAAGGTGCTGGTCTTGGCATTGTCCTTTTCAGCGGAGGTAAAAGAAGGATAGAAATGGTACAGTTGCAAATGCATGACTTGCGGAGACCTACACACCCCGAAACAACTGGTTGTCTTTTGATAATCAGTGTCATTCTCCCGAAGTAACTCCCGAAGCAATCCTTCTCCGTCGACATCTTTGACCTTGCGGTCCTTGGCGGATGGTGTTTGGGGGTGGATGGGGGAGCCTTTCATCCACCCTCATCGTCTGCCAAGGGACCACACCAGGCACAACACATGCAGCCTCGGTTCAAGTCCAAGGACTAAATGTGCTTTAGGCTTTGGGAGGGAACGGCGGGATCCGCTAAACCACAGTGGCGTCTTTGTTTGTTCCATCCAAAAACAATCAAACAAATATAGTTATAGATGTTCCACGTGTGCTTGAGGTTGTGGTCATGCGGATTGAACACATTCTGTGTTTAAACCCATAGGTTCCCTCTCATCCCCAGTGAGGGTGTCTCACTTCAGGCCCAGACCCTGGGTTGCCAAGTACCCGAAACCAGATGGATTCTCCACCCCCTTCAGAACCCTTAAGCATAGTTGCAGGTCATAGCACCTCAAAAAAGAAAGAGTTGAAATGTGAGATTTGTCGGACATCTACAAACATTGTCAAGTGATCCAATGTTTTGGGGGGATCCTCGGTGTATGGTTCCCCGATGCCAAACACCTGCCGGTGCTCACAGTCTGCATCTAAGGCACAAATCAGCTTGAAGATAGCCAAGACCCGCTTCAGCTGCGGCCGCCGACGCAAGGTTTTCAGCTCCAGATGGCTCAGCTGTACTGAGAGAGAGGCCGCCACAGCGAAGATCAAGCTGCAGAACAACAAGACCTCCGCCCTGGAGCTTGTGACGACTCGATTCGTGGAGCAAATGCCATTCTGGACAGAATGTTTGGAGCCCCAGCGCATTCTGAACCTCTTTGTTCAGGTTTCGAGCCACAAAATAGGCCAAAATAGTGCTTCGTGCCAGCAAATGTAGCTTGTTTTGGTGGTTGCCCAAACCTGCAAGGTGTTTTCTGGACCCGACCAGCCCGGTGCTGGGCACCAAAGGTTGTCACCAAGGAAACCTGGTCAATGGAGGCTCCAGGAACATCTTCGTCTCCACTCCACTTGGGCCACCGATCCCGAGCTGCGGTCCCGATTTCTGCCCCGTCCGCCTGGTCGCCGGAGGTTCATTGCCCTCCGGATCGGGCAAATGTCCTCCAGTGTGGTAGCGCAGGGATTGGCATGTTAAGAAGGATAAGCAAAGCGCGGCAATATCATTTTCCTCAGCCACACAAGGTGAGGAAGGCATGTGGGTAACTTCTGACTCTTCTGCTTTCTGTATCTGGGCCAGGCTCTAGGTAAACCATGCATAGGATCACTATTCTGAAGTTATGACGATCTTTGGTGCCAAGTGGCTGCATCGTGCGTTTGCTCCTGGGCAGAAAGGCTCGCCCGTTGTGCAGCAGGAAGGTAGCACGGACCACATTTTGCATGAAAGTGCTCCCATGGTCCTTCTAACATCTTTTCAGGGCAGCAAGTGACCTCTGACTTTGAGGAAGCTGGGAAGTGGTTATCCCGTTCTCCGGAGTTTTCCCATCTTGTAGGAAGGGATGGATCTGAAAACACTGTCTGCATGGGGATCATTCTTTCTCAAGGCACCCCAAATTTTTCCGTACATACACTGGTGTATCTTCAATTCTTGGAGGCCAATCGTGTGGACGTACAGTTCCTCTGGAAAGTCTTGATGGCTCACATGAGCCTTGTCCAATTTGATGAAGAAGATCACATGAATCCTCTAAATCGTCAATACCAACCAAATCGATAGCATGTATATAAAAATGTTTTCGAGCATGTATATAAGACAAACGTTAGGTGTATGATGGTGTATATATATATATATGGTCCCTAATTGTTTTCTGGATAAACTTTCTATATGTTTTGTGAGTTTTGTCCAATCAATTCTAGGAATTCGAAGTTCGGAACACCTCTCCCAAGGATTCCCAAGCCCGTTTTTTGTGTTCGGCTTTTCTTCGCTCCAGCCTCCCACAACTCGAAGTACCACGCGTCGTGTTCCTTCAAATCTGCCTCGCTCGGCAGGAGGTTTTCCGTACGACCACACTTGCGATTAACACAATCCCTTGTTCCTTTGGTGTTCAATAACAATATATGAGTATCCTATGGGCCATATCTGAAAATGAGGAACCAAAATCAGATGGAATCTCTCCCAAAAAACCGCTGAATTCGTGGAGCCCTCCCAAATGCCCCCCAGGCATCGAACCTTTCGGACTCTCCTGACCGCCTCTGACCGCCCCGGAACCCGCCCTGGCCCACCGCGAACGGACCGGAGACCGGAGACCGGAGACCTGTGATGTGCGGAACATGCCGTTCACGTGCGGTGTGGATGCTTCGAAGAGAACAGGTGTGGTGAAGAGAACAGGTGTGGTGATGTTCTGAGATGTCACATGTCTATTCTCGAATCCTCAGATCTTTACGGGGGCTGCCAAATTGAATGATGAGTTCTCACGGTTCGATGAGGCGGAGACTGTGAATTTCATTGAGCCGCCTTGCAACAGAACCCTCTCCACTCTCTCACAAAAACTGGGCAAACAACAGCACTGTCATCCCCCAAACTTGGGGCAAAACTCCTTTCGGTTGAGACACCATCGTCTCGTCAATCGGACCCCAGTGACAGAACAGCGCCTTGTAGAGATATTGGCCAGCACGCTCTGCCAGCCACGCCAATACGATCAAACCTTAGTGAAACAGTTAGACTCTATACCGGGGTTCTCTACAGCGTCGCTGGAACCAAACTGCTGAGCAGAAATACATGACCTGCTTGGATGTTCAAAGGGCGTGCTTTTGCCACTGAAACACCGAAAACTCAGCTTCTTCGGCCTGGGTTCTTTCAGGGACACAGCTGGGCAGGAGGGTTTCACATCAACTGGACTCCCCAACTCGAGGAATCAAAGACTGTCCTCCATTCAGGCTGGGGCAGCCCCCAACCGTTGGGGTGAGGACTGTGGTGAGGCCAGTTTCCACTTGCAACATGTAATATGTTGTGATGTGGTGAATTGTGGTGATATGATATGTGATATGTGGTTGTGTGGTTCGTTATGGTTCGATGCGTTTCCAACCAAACAACCTGGAAAGTTAGGGCCAGCAGTTGCTTCCACGCCTGCGTGCACCTGCAGTAGTTCTTCGCACGAAGCAAACCATTCTTGCTTAAGCTTTAGGACTTCATGCGTGCATGAAGAGCGCACCGCACATCCTTTTCCGCAAGCGAAGGAAGTATCAATCTTTGGACTAAGGGGTCGACACTGTCGACACCTTTTTGCCTTGCTCGATGTTTCATGGTAATAATTACTTCCAGTATTCCGTTGGGGTCAAACTGGGGGTCTCTCTATTTCCATAAACCCCTCCCCGATTCTTGCCCTCAGAATGGCTCCTTCTTCACCCGGCACTGCTGTCTTAACACGTGGGTCATGGTCATCCTCCCAAGGAGGATCCCAAATGGGTGTGTCTTAACATGTCTTTAACAGGGAGATCTCCAGGCCTTCGAACCCCCTGGTTGGGGGCTGGAGGACGGACGCGCGTCCTCCCGGGGCGACTCAATCGGCTCCCAGGCGGCACGTCGCAGAGATGGGCACCACCAGCTCGGACTGGTTGGGGCTCCCCGAGAAGAACAACTGCCCGGACGAACGCTCCGGTGGCTCGGGGCCGGGCAACTCCGCTCCGCTCCCGCCGCGCGGGACAGCGAGGGCAGGTACGCGTGAGATGGATTGGTGCGAAGGAAGGAAGGCCCGCATCGAAGGGGTCAGATAGCTGTGGAGTGCCGACTGAGATGGATCATGGGAACTTGGTTCCAGAAGAGTCGGAAGCCCTCGGACATCGGGCGGCCGAATGAGTCCTCACACGAGGTCACGAGAGGATCGAGTCCACGCAGGTTGCAGGTCGCATGGACGGGTCTGCATGCAGGTGGTACACGTGTGAAAGGTGTTGATAGGTAATTAGCCATGTCCCACCTCTATATGACGAGCCAATGGCTTATGCCTTCATTATAGCGGAAGCGTTCCCATGCTCAGATCATTTATATAACTTGAAACCTCCGCACTAATCACCTCCAAAGAAGACCAGTTATCATGACAGACAAAAGGAAATAGAAAAGAACACAACCAAAACTCCAACTCCAAACAGCCCCCAAAGAAGTCCCCTCCCTAATTTGAGCCTCTCCAACAGTCCACTGCTTCAAACATGTTCAAAACGTTTCGCTCCAATTTGATCCCCCCGTTCGCAGGCGACGAAGCCCCACCGCACCTGCTGGAGATCCCCGAAGCAGTTGATGGCCGCGAAGCCGGCGACGTGCGCGAAGAGCATGGCCCAACTTTTCACGTCCAGCTCATGCCGGTGTGTGCCTTCATGCAAAAAGGATGAGGACCAACACCTTCGGTGGAGGTCTGACCTATGATCTTTTCCTGTGGATGACCCAGAGGTGGATGATGTTTGAATGCTTTGCAAGGCGAAATCTGGGTGAAAGATGGTGAAAGGGCTTGAAGTGCTTTGAGTGCTTCGGTACAAGGGCACGTGTTGGCTTAACATCGACACATAGACAGGTGGGAAGCAGCAGGAGATGCATTCCCGTTTGTGAATGGGCATTCCTTTAGGGTCATGATATCTGTGCAACATGTTCATTCAAACTTCATCGCATCCACCGGTTTTGATAAGACCGCAATCAAGTTGCTTTCATCGCCATCCCCATTACCAACGCCAGCGTTTTGCTTCCTCACCGCAGCAAACCTCAGTTGCAAATGCAAGTAACTAAGTCTCAAAATAAACAGTCACGCTGGGCGTTCCACAGCACCAGCAAGGTATTTCTGAGCGACTGTCTCTTGCGTGACAACTGACAACTGATGATACTCCAGTGCTTGAATGCTTAAGAAGACACAGGTAGCCATAGCCCAGCTCAAATCGGTAAATCAGTGTTTCAATACAATTGAGATGGTTGGTGGCCTGCCGTATCCAACTGGAAAGCTGCGTGACATAATTTTTTCTACATCTTGAATTGTGGACCACGAGTTATGGATAGTTATGGATCAAAACCTCCGGACATACATTCCCTGCGATCATCCTGGCAGGTTACGTGGATGGTGACCTGCGCCCCTTCACTGTTGCCGAGACTCCATAAGACCAACACCATCATCAACATCCAAACGAGCATGTGCAGAAAATCCACCTCGGGATGCCACGCGGAGGTGGAACTGCGACGCGGTCCGGACCGAAGGCCTGGACGCTCGCCTGGACGAATTGGGCGAGCTCAAGCATTCCCCCAAAAAAATGGATCGTCCATATTGGGGTAATCATTCCCGAACTGAGATGGAAAGACAGCTATCTTGGGAACAAGCACACTGGAACCCACTGGACCAACTCTCAGGCACTTGAACCCACTGGAACATCTTGAACCCAGCTCGCTGAGGGTCAGCGAAAGGGACGGGACCGTGTTCGACCTCGTGAGTTGAAGAACATGTCGTTTCGATTCCACACACGTGCACTATATATATATATATTATATATATACCTAGAACCCATTGTTGGCCCTTGTTTTGATAGGAAAAGGCCCTATTTTGGGTGGTTGGTGATCCAAAATAGAGGTCACAACCTGGTTCCAGGTACATATTCTCTTCCATTGAGCTTCACAGCAACTCCAATTGCTTCACAGGTCCCCTGCGACCGAGCCATGGCGCCACGCCGCTGGGTGGGGGCAGCTTGGGAGTGTTTGAAGCAAAGGGCATCGCTACGAACGGAGCAAAGGGCCTTACTACTAGGAACAATGGGCCTTGCTAGTAGAAACAATAAATAGAATTAGAAAGGACACTGATGTTGGAAAGGACAATTTTTCCAATAGAATTTAATTAGAAAGGACACTGATGTTGGAAGGACACTACTCTACTCACTAATCACATTGAATCACCATCAGCTGCTCAATCTGAGGAAAGGGGATGACCGGGATGACCTCACACGGCCCTCTGAAGATGATGTATGTCTTGTAACTAAAAACACTGGGACGAGGCGTCAGGGAGTCCAGCGTGCCAGGTGTCCTTCTACAAGGTACTTTCGATAGCTCAAACTGAAGCTATATATATCCCCATCAAGACTATTGGATTCCAATCCCAAGCGGTGATTTCGATCATATAAGAGTTTACCAAGAAGTGTCTCTAGGCGTTGAGGCAAGAGCTTTGATGAGAGCATGGCACTGCACAACACCTAAACTAAATCGTGACATCGTGAAGGATAGGATCGAATCGACAGAGTGATGGGCCATCGGAATGATGTTTGTCAACCTATCCATGTGCCATGTCGTGAGTTCTTCTGAGAGTCAAAAAAGAGGAACACCTTCATGCACCTTCTCCACACAGCATCCAACACAAATCCAAAGGCTGTTCCTCTGCAAATCCAAAGGGCAATTATAGCAAAGGAGTGAAGATGGCGCATCTCCTTAGATAGCAGGATGGTGGTGAGGTCCTCCAAGCCATGGCCGTGTCAAGGTCCCTAGGTCCCTAACCCGGAGAAGATCTACGATTTGGTCAGTGGCTTTCCCATCGGGCTTTGTCGCGGCTTTCACAAAAACACCTAGCAAACCCTGCCAACATGTTGGTTGCCCAAGACACAACAAACTCTGGGAAAGGATGAGGCCATGAAAGGATGCACGTCAGCCCAAATCATGGTGGCGGCAATACAGACCTCCTTCCACCAACGCAGACCTGGAAAATGACACACTGGTAGCTCTAGCGACCTCTGCACAAAACCTAATGTGCTCCGATGTCCTCTCTGGATTCACGCGAAGGGAAGTTTCGATGTTGGTTGGACTGAAGGTAAAACAGCATCCAAGAGTCTTTCGAGATGTGCTCGAAAGCATAATGCTCCACTAATCCTTAGTTCCACGGCCGGCATTCGCGTTTTGCTTTCCTGGTGCCTGTAGTTCGGAACAAAAACGGATGCTGATGAAGAAATCAAACCATGGGCACTGTATACAAAACACTTACTCAAAACGGATTGATTTGTGCCTGGCCGCGTTGGATCTACTCAGTATGAACATTGCAAGGGACTTATTAACTATGATAGTGGCCTTAAGTTGGGTAACTCACGCAAAAGAAACATCTACTTCACCAGTTTCTTCAAAATTACCATTTTCAGAACCTTTGGCCTCTGCTGCCAGCCCAATACCTATAGCCTATTACACCTTTACGTTGATATGCCGCTACGCTGATATACGGCTGTACGCCTAAAATTTGAATACAATTTGAATGACGCCCATATGCGCGCGCCTTTTTGCGTCGCGTCGTTACGCCAATATATGTTGCGTCCACTTCCGAATCCACATCATACACGTCTCCCTTCCAGTCGATTCTGTAGTCGCCGACAACGCAACAACGAGCCCTCAAGATTCCGGCCAACTGCCCTGGTCCACATAATGATCATCCAAGTAAGAACCCACATAAGGAGACCATGTTCGTTTGTATTGCTGGCTTTCAATGAAGGATGCACACAAGGAAAATAGGGAAAATACATTTGCTCGTGAGTGCCGGCGGGCATGCTATGGCCTGTGCTAGTTGGGCATGTGTGGCCGAAGCATTCTTCTCTCATCGACAGCTGCAAAAACGTCAGGCCTGACCACCGCTGTCAGGATTCAAGACAGTGCTTCTGTGCAACCTTGCTTGGGCACAACCTTGCTTCAGCCCGACCACTAACAAAAAAGACACATTGCATAATATACTTATATACCAGTGAAAAGGTGAGTGAACATGAGGGGAGGGTGTGTTGGATTGGTGGGGCCCAGGTGTCTGATACCAAGTTCACTACTTACAGTGGTTTCAGAGTAGATGGCACAATCCCCAAGTTAGGTTGTTCATATGGACCTCCATCTAAAATACATCTTGGGGTGCCAGTCTGAAGCCACTTCTTTTCCCAACCTTCACCTTCCTTCACTTCACCAACCCCCTCACCCCCCCCCCACCAACTCTAAGGTCTTTCGTGCGACGGTTGGAGGCTGAGAAAATCAGGACCTCAGGGACTCCGGGACCGGTGTCAAAGTCCAACAGGACCGGTGTCACACGACAACTGACGACCACCAGTGGGAACTCCAACCGGTGGCACGGACGAACGAACTGAGGGATCTCCCTAATGTCCAACGGAAGGATTAGAACCTGGGAAGCCAGTTCCAAGCAGAAACCGTCCTGAGGTTCTTCTTCCAAGCTCTAGCGCCAGCTTGAGATCCTTTACATTGGATTTCTGAGACTGGGGAGTTCCATCCAGCACTCTGGTTGGGACTTGGGACTGGGTTTGCAGGAATGGATTGCACTCCCTTAAAAAAACAGAATCGGGCCGTGGATGGCAACTCGCCAGTTCGGAAGACCAAATCGCCAAAGCAGGTGGGTTTTCACTCCACTTCCACCACTTCTGTGGTGTCAATGAAGTGGTGGACCCTCAGAAACGATGGACCATTATGGACCCTAGTCTCCCAAAAACCGCGGCCAACATACACCACGCCAGTGCTGGCGACATGGGATTCTCGATTTGTCGGACAATCGAATTGATTCCGTGTGGGATCAAAGGGATTTTCTCAGTCAACAAAGGTTTCTACTTCAGGTTGGACACCAAATACGGACGCTACTTCTGGGACCAAAGAGGGGCCTATGCAGCTCGGGTGCATGAGGAAGAAACCGGGCGCAACCTCTCAGAGAGTGGCTGCCCCAAGCAGGCAGGCAGGGGTGCATCTACTTTCCGGAAACACATCGACTCAAAGAATCAGACTGGGGAGATGTCCGCAGTTCTATGCCTGAATTCGCAGCAGTTCTGCTTCCTATCTCCAGCCCGGCCAACTCCAGCCAACACCAAATCTACAGATTCTCATCAGTGCATCAATCATCATTGCCTACCCAAATGGATGCACGCACTATTTGTAGAGCTACAGGAATTCTAAGTGTCTGCTCCCACCTCAAAGGGAGATGTTACCTGTCTGTCTATCCAACCGACCCCCCTGCCCGACTTCGAACGACAATGCCCAAGGCACTGCGCAGAAAATGTTGATGGTGGAGCTGATGACCTCAGGCACCACGTTTTTTGGACGGAACCCCCAGGGCCAGGGTCTCCGTGTTGCTTAAGAAACGGTGTTGTTTTCTTCGTTGTGTTGGTTCAGTGTTTTCGTGGTTTCTCTTGGAGCTGGGCAGGTTGCACGTTGCGAAGGTCGTCCACATGTGATCGAGTCCGCAGGTCGTCCACATCGTCTCTGGTCGACGACCAGGTCCGACCCAAAATGACCCCATGAAATCCTGTCTTGCGTGTCTTGCACGTCGCGACCGAGCGTTGAAAGCAACTCAAAGCTTTATAAAACTGTTTCGATGCAACCAGAAGGAGCGAAGCAAGATGCCTGGTGGAGCCTTGGGGGTGAAGAAAGCACCCTTCTGCGCAACAAAACTGTGTTCCAGAAGAACATGCACAATGGAGGCAGCAACAAAGCAATGCGTGCACAGAGCGCAAGAATGTGCAAGACATGAATAAAGTGGAAAGTGCACATCGGTGTCCTTTTCTTACCAAAATGATCCAAAATGTTGCTTACCGACTTTGTTGCAAAAAACCCTTCTTCTTCCACGAGACATATTTGCACCAATCAACCTTTCGTTCTGAAGCAGAGACAATGTCGCAACTGGCACACATGCCCCGGAAGAACCCAGCAAAAATGGAACTTCCAGCCTGCCCAGAGAAACTTGCACGCCCATGTTTTTGAACGCTTATATGGCGCGAGTCGTATGTGTATATACATGCCAGGGTTTTCAATTTTCAAATGGGTGCTTAATGGAGGTTCGGGGTGCCCATTATCCACTGACTTAGGAACTAAACACCACCCCTTTGAATTGTGACTCCTGGTATGTACTGCAGATCCGCCGACCCTGGCCTAGCCATGCCAGGGCGGCGCCTGAGACCACCTTTGGTGTGGATCTTTTCCGTTGCGTGGCCAAGCTGAAACCTTCAAACTCGCCGGAAAGGCTCGACAGGTAGGTTTGACCCCGCCTTGACAGGTCTATGGATTCGATGGGTTAATGTGGCAAAACAAGCACGCGGTGGGAGCTTCGCACAGGACTCGAACACGCCAATCCAAGAAATTGTCAGTCCAAAGCACTTTCAGCGTCACCATCAGCACGGAACAATCACGCGTGACACGCATAGCCCTCTCACCAAGCGAAGGCCAATGAGCGCCACGGCGGCCTCTGCACGGATCACCTCTGAAGTGGCATGGCCGTCATGCAACGCAATGTCATACAAGCCTGAGTTCAAACAAACACTCGACTGACCCACAATGACGAAAATTCCGTGAGAACTTTTTTCTTCAACCCTCAGCTAGCCTTGAATCCCCGGCTTCCAGGTAGAGGCTAAGAAACACAAAAAATAGAAATACAAAACAGTTTTAGACAAATACAACCCTGAAATACTACTTCTGCATGGTACTACGTCCTAACTGGCCCTGGTTCCCAACAACATACCCAAATGAAGGCCACAATGCAAGGCAATCGAACTTTGAGTCACGTTGTCCTTATGTGTTTTCAAGAAACATTTTCGCGAATTTGTTGTCCCTTTCTGTGACAAGATAAAAAGCAAAGGCAATCGGGCCGCAAAAATCAGCAAGCACCCTCGTCGACGCGTCAGCAAAACAAATTGCAAATTTTCCTTTCGCAACCCGTTTCGCAAAAAACTGTGAGTTTTTGCATGTTTTTCGCGGGTCGTATTTGTTGTATGATCTTCGCGAATCGGTAGTTTCTTTGGTATTTCGTATGTTTGTATTTTGTGATCTTTTTGCATTTTTGCGCGTATTCTTTTTCGCGGGTCGTATTCTACTTTGTCTTATTGAAAGATACGAAACAGGTGTCGTATTTTGTTCGTTTTCAAAATACAAATTTTCCGCCTCGAACTGCGAACCGGCAAAGCCTGGCGAATTCTTTCGACCAGTGCCACGTGGTCAGGCTACCCGACAACCACGAGAGGCTGCTCCAAAAGACACGGAGGCCAGCTTCCCATCCCACCCATATCAACGCGTATCAAGTGACAATTTCCGTGAAGATTGCTAGCAGTTTCACTTTTTTGTGTTGTATTATTGAAAAATTCAAGCGTCTTTAAAAGAGCACTTGATATTCTTACCTTGAACGCTCCATAAAGGACTCAGGCCGCTTGTTTTTCTCCGATGGGACCAAGCTCCTCTTGCATCTACCGGGAAACGGATCTCAGCCGTGAGCGACGTGGCTGGTCCGTTCGTTTTCTCCGGAAGACACTCACCCGCAGGGAGACCGAGGAAGGGGATTCCCATAGCTCTCCTGCTAGGCCTTCCTTGGTATCCCTAAGTCTGGTTGTGGACTATCCAGCGAGACTGCGGGAGCGGCCGCAGTGTGGCCCCATCAAGAAGAAAAGTTAAACGCTGGACCGAGCCGTATGTACGGATGTCTTCACTACCGATGGAGAAGCTCCCATGTGACACATGAGGGCGAACTCAAGTCTACTCGGGCCGTCGGCCAGGTTGGACTTGGACTCAACACGATCTAGGTAAAGATCGATGCCGGCGGCTAAGGTCCAATACTCGCCCACTAGCTGGCAGGAATCCTGGGTTAGCTGCCGCTGAATCGTTAGCCACGAATGGATGATTTGGCGTCTCCTCAGGTCATCCTCCCAGGTACTCAACGCAACAGGAGCAGCGAGTAGTTCAAGCTGACCCATGTATGAGTTCTTGGGTATCCATGTTTCGACAACTGACTGCGGAACAACCCAGCTGAAAAACTTTATCTGAGCGGCAGGTGGTGGAAGGATCAAAACTCCTCCAACTACCATGCGCGGATGACGTTCTGGCACATCCGAGGCGTCGGTGTAAAGTAGCACCGGTGGATCTCTGTCATCAAGTTTGATATGCCAAGGGGGTGAAACGGTCAAGGTCGGCCATGTAGGTGTCTTGCTCTAAACGTAGCTTAGCTTTGCTACTCATCCGAGTTAGTTCGGATGGGGTACCGGTTGGGTGTTCCATGGAGGCGGTGGTGACTTCACTCTGGGAATGGGGATTTCACGTGCTCTGGAGAAAGTGGCACAGTTTGGCGCGTAGTGGGATAAGTCTGCCAATCTTGTCTCACCGTCCAGTCGATCCCTCATTTTAAAAATACACAAGAACCATGATCATGCTATCCAGCTCCAAGCGCTGACTTGGAGGAGCGTTCAGCTTAACCAAAATGGACCTCAAGGCCACAACACTTTTCATACCCCCACTGATGAACGCCCCACCCTCAAACTGCACAATGCCAAGATGCTTACAAACTGGGTAAGGCTCTTGCATTGCGAAGATAGCATGAATCCGCCCTCGGCAAGACACCGGAGCCAAAGGTATCTGGCCACCCGTAATCTCCGCAACGCTCACCTCGGCCGCCTCTGCCACAAACGGGCTCGCAGAAGCTTTGGCTTTCGCAGCACCCACTCGAAACTGCATCGACATTGGACACAACACAAACTGCAGGACAGTTAGCACGTTCGGCCAAAATGTCTTGCAAAATGCATTGGCCACCCGTTCATGTCCAAGCAATCCATTCATGTTTGATGTTGACCCTTTGGTGAAGTAGCTGGAGACCCAGGACAGGAGAGTCTCAGCAGGAAGCTACCTCAACACTTCTTGCATGCTTTCTTTTCTAGAGATAAAGCTTTACAGTAGCCTTTCTTTATCATTTTCCTCAGCTATTGATTTTTTTGACGAAAATAAAAACGTCCTGGTGATGTTCACAATGTCGGCTCGCGGCCGACATTTCTAGCACCACCTGGGCTTATAGGGCTTCTTCAAGTACTTTGTAGTGGCAAGCGCTGAAACAGAAACTGTATCTTTGAGAACTTTCATGCCCTCTCGTGTGCGTGTGTGTCCGCGCGTGCGTGTGCGCGCGTGCGTACGCGCACGCACGCGTGCGTTTGTGTGCGTGCGGGTGCGGGTGTGGGAACGGGTGCATGCGCGTACGTGTGTCTGAAGCTGAGGTCGCCAGGATTTTTCCATCAGACCCTCGTGCGCACACCTGTGTGGGAGTGTGTATGCGCAGGCGTCAGAAGCTGCGCTAATCGTCGATTTGCTGTGCAAACACCCTGCGGATACGCGCAGTGCCCCATCGCCGGTGGGCGAAGCCTGTCAGTCCTTTTTTGGGTATGTACTGCTGTATACATATTCCTCGAAAAAACGACTGTCTTCGCTAAGCTTGCAGCTTGCCACGAATACATCCTGCTTGCCACGACCGAGAACACTGAATGAAGTGTTTGGACAAGGCCGATTTCCATTTCCGCTGGCTCACGGGACGCGACACGACCCTGCAGAAATCGGTGACGAGTGCGCCTTCAGTCAAAAGTGGTCCTGTCTTTTTGGGGAACATGTCACAGTTGGGCTCCAAAAACGGCTCCCAAGAGCGACACCGGCACTTCTCATCCATTGTGTGGGAGCAGTTTCTGTCGAGAAAAACGGATGATTGCGTCGATGGACTCCATGGATCTCTGACATCAGGGTTGCTGCTTGAAGTTCGTCAAAGCCTCCCCCAGTTCGTCCATCCCTTCAATCGTGTGGTTCTTTTTCGAAGCGAAAGCCGTGCAAGAAAGGCAGTGAAACACAGCGGTCAGGACTTCAAAGGCAGTGCAAATTGGACTCACCCGTGTCTCAACAAGGAAAAAAGGCCACTGCAACCATGTTTCAGACCTTTTTGAGGTGCGCAGGGTCTCGGCCCGTTTTCCCTCCGGGCACGGAGTTCACCACTCTCAGCTTCGAAAAGCAAAATCCTACACTCACCACCTTTTTGAAGTTCGGATATGCTCATCATGGTCATGGTCATCCGATATCAGGGCCATGGCATCCATATCGTATACCACCATGATGACTTTCAGAGAGTGGTACACCGTGAAAGGAGCGAAACCGTCTCATACCGTCTCCCTGTTTCACCCCTCGACTTCTCGAGTCCTGATCTCCGGATCGGAATTGTTCACCAAATAGAAGAGCGCCTCGAAGAGAAAGAAGAACACAGGAATTCCAACAAATCAAAAGTGTCAAAAGACCAAAAGAAAAAGAATCGCTGCTCTCAGTTTTGGAGCTCTTTCTGGGACGAAACGTGGGTCCCAGACAACACCGGGGAAGGACTGGGGGACGCTCAAAAAGAGGGTGTGTGGCTCATGTCTAGGGAACACCTCCCGCCGGCGTTCCGACCCCCCTGGAGAAAAGAAACAGTCCAAAATGCCATGTCTCTCTGTCGATGTGCATAAATACCCTAGATTCGCAGAGGAAGCATGCGGACACTTTTGCAGCCAGTCTCTTTCAGTCCTCTAAAAACAATTAATGGCTAGACTAGACATGACTAGGCTCAGTCACGTTCCTCACCTGTAGCAACCGTCTCAGGTCGCCACCATCATGAAGGCGACCGCTCCAATCAACCTCGGCTGTTCCGCGTCGACGGGGCGTGGACCCGTGGGAGGTGATACACGGCATTTGGATGCGTGGTAGAGACCAAAGGGTGAAATTCCACATACAAACTGGTTTCTTCTCTATTCTTGTTTCGTTCTATCAAAAATCCGGACATGGAGTGATGTATGGCACATGCCATGAATGGGCTCAATGTAGGCGTATTATATCATAATTACTTGGTAACTCATTGAACACACAAAGAAATCCAAATGTCTCAATCCAAAGTTACAGCTGCCTACCCTCTACTCCCATAAAATCACCACCACATGGAGCTTCTCCAGTTTCTCCTCCTTTCCATCACCCTGCTCACTCCTTTGCCAAGTGGCATCCAGGCGACCGCCACGGAGATGTCGAAGTGCAAGTCGTCCAAGCTCACCATGTCGCTCCCTCCGCCTCGGGCGCCCCGGGATCCGCCCGGGTCCGCCGTGCGGATCGCCCTTCGCCCGTAGGGCTCCGCCGCTTCGTCGGGTTGCTCCGGTGCTCGGAGGCCGGGGACGAAAAGCACGGCGCAGACGGCGGGGACCAACTCGCCAGCGGTGGGGTTGACGTGGGGTCGACGTGCCAAAAGGTGGGGGAAGCTTTGGTTCCCCATGAAGATGCATTCAAGCTGGTGGAGACCTCCACGCACCCCGCCCGAAGGATCACGCTTCCCCTGAGGCGAAAGGACGTGTCCAGCAGGGCGGTACGGTCGCATAGGCCAAGAATAGAACCTGAGCGTACCAGTCTTGCGTTTTTGGTGCGATTTGATGTGAGAGAGGCCACTCTTGAAGGCGCAGTGGCCTTTTCTTGGACGACTTGGGTGCAGCAACGTTGTTGATGAACAGTACAAAGAGGTGTGCGGAATTTGGATCGTTCAAAGGGACTGCAAGGGTTTCTGGCCTAGTTGTTTCCCCATTGTGCGTCCTGGTATGTCATAGTTAAGTGTTATATTTTATATTTATACATCTATATCACCCCTCAAATAAATATACATCTATATCACCCCTCAAAAGACGTGATTCAGTGCCTCTGACGCATCTGCCTTGTCGCCCGGCCGATGATCTGACAGGGGCTGTATCAGATGAAGTGGGTCAAGCTTTGACCGTATAAAACAATGAAACATAGAATAATGCCAATACAACGAGAGAGCAAAGAGAGAAACCTCCACGAAGAGAGAGGGGAAACGGAAGGGATATGAGTCTCTCCCCCCCTAGGGGAGACCTCCCAGGCGTCCTGACCCCCTGGAACGTTCGAGACATTGGAGAAACCCAGGAGAAACCCAGCCAGAGTCTGGGGGTTTAGGGAGGGAATCTTACTCTTAAAATACGCATGTGACATGTGGTATGTTTCCTCCAAGAAAAGGAGACCTTCACAACCTGAAAGCGCTGAAAGTCCAAAACCTCGGCGAGTCGCGCAGACGATCCACCATCGCCTCCCTCGGGGACGACGGAGCACAGCCAACTCCATGGACGACGGAGCCGGTGCTTCGCGAAGGGAGCCAGACCCCGAAACAAACGCAACGGGGAGGAAACGGGGACGAACTACCAGAGGAACTCATCTGATGGTTTAGTCTGGTGTGGTGGAAAGCGAGCGGAGAACAGAATGGCAACCGGCAAAAAAGCAGTTTCTAGTATGTCTTCATCGAAGTGAGTGGTCAAGTTCATCCAAAACGAGAAGGGAATATCATAGGATTCATGAGAGGTAATCCTAGCCGTGTGAAGAGTTGAGACAGGTCAGCTAGCCAAGCTGCGGATGAGTTGTTCCTGGTTCTAGTCGATGTATGTATATGCCTGCATGATGCACATGTGTAATACATTATATAACTAACAAACAGCAAGGGGAGGTTGGAAAACATGGTCTTGGGTGCCCATCGTTTGGCATGGCGCACAGATGTAGCACTTGGGCAGTCCTGAGTGAGGGGATACCATGATTGTCGCACACAGGAGGATATCTGTTGCTGGTCTGCACAACCCATCTCTTGGTGGGCCTGTGAGCCAAAGCCCTGAGAAGGCACGAGTCGCGTACCGCGATTCTGAAAGCAGCACCTTGCAAATCCACGTTGTCTTGGTGAAATATCATTACCAATGTTAATCAAGGTTAGGTCATGTCATGCGCAACTCTCATTCTTGGGCTAACCCTCAGCGCAACTGAGCACGTTCATAACTCTGCAGTCACTCTTATCTACACAAACCTTCTCATTCGAAGATGAACTTATATAGATGGATGTGGTTCTGTGGATTATATAGAACTCCCGTGTGTTTTTCAAGCATTTGCATAATTTAGCGAAACTTGCACCAAGGAAGCGTCCCCATCCACATGATTCCACATGGCGGCCGGGTTCCCAAAACCTTGGTAGCTTCTCTTCTTCGGGACTGCCGCCAACACTGCCCCAAGGACAGACACCGGGCAAAACACCAAGCAATAACGGTTCGCCCCCCAGAGTTCGGTTCCCACCTCACAGGAGCAAACGCCCATCACGGCCAGCGACATCTCCCGCAGCTGTGGGTCACCCCCAATCATCTGGCGCAGCTGTGGGTCCGGAGCGTATATTGTGAAACAATAAGCTACTAGGAACAAGTGCATCGCTTCTAGTAACAAGTGCCTTACTACTAGTAACAAGAAGCTAGTAGAAACAAGTGCCTCGCTAGTAGTAACAAGTGCCTTACTACTAGTAACAAGAAGCTAGTAGAAACAATATATAAATTAGAATTTGTTACTACTAGTAAGGCACTTGTTATTACTAGCGAGGCACTTGTTTCTAGCAGCTTCTTGTTACCTGCCCTTTTCTGGGTGGAATCCATAGGCATCCCCCTGCGGTTCTTGGACCGCGTGCGTCGCCTCCGGGAGCCGCGCAGCCAAGGCACGGAGGGCTCCAAAACACCTAGCCGCGTGACCAACCAGGCGACCAAACGGGCGAACTGGCGGAGCATGGGACGAGAAAAAGCACGGAATTTAGGACTCCCTATTTGGAGCTTTCAAGGGAATCTTCATCCATATCAGGTGTGTTCAAAGGATGATGTCAACGTCAGATCTTGGCGATGAAATGAATCGTGAGTGGATCCCCTTTTTGCTGACATCCACTCAGAATTCTTAAAATACTATATTTGGAGATCTCTTTACTCTAAAGAATTCATCGGTTAGTTGAGTGTCCGACGAAAGATGTTTTCCCCCCCTCCTTCCCTGGTCCTACCATCAGCGGTCTTACAACCATCTTCCCAACCCACTGAGCTTCCCGGGCGCGAAGGCCGCCAGGAAGGCTCTTCGTGGGCGGATGGCTTCGTCGGGCAAAGCTAAGCGCCTAGAGGTCGATGGGACGGTGCTGTGGCACAGCGAGCTGGGCATGACTGGACCTTGCTTCGATGATGACTGGACTCATATGTCTTGCGACTGGCGACTGGACCTGGCCATGTCTTCTAGTCTTGGAGCTGCTGGGCTTCTGAGCTGCTGCGGAGTGAAATCCATATGTCGAACAAAAGGATCGAGAGATGGGTGTTTTCTGGAGCCATCCTCTCCATGTCGTCTGCACAGCCCACGGACGTTCCGTGGGGCCATCAGATCCATCAGAACCAGAAAGCATGAGGTCTTTCTGCCACCAAAACAGGATTGGTCAGTGGTGTTTAAATAAAGTCCCATCCAAAAGTCTAGACTCTAGACCTGGCCGGAAAACATGAGGTCTTTCCACACCGAACAACCGATTGGCTGGGTCTCTTCAGCCCGGACGATAGGCTCGGACGATCCACTTTAAGCCAAACCAACATACCGATGTCTACCATCCTGCCAAATGCGGCGTCGCAGGCGAGGAACGACGCCGCCCTTGGAAATGCCGCGCCTTCAAATGGATTTCACCTGTCCTCTGTCTCCCTCAGATGCACGAGGAACGACGCTTACATGTCCTCTGCTATGCCGGTCCAGTTCCGTACACCCCACGGCCGCTACCCGGTGGCTGTACTTTCCACACCGGCCACGGGCCTGAGAACTGCTCGCAACACCGAGAGGATCGGCGGCATGTCCGTTTCCTGACGAACCGCCCGCGCCGGATCGGCGAGTTCAACGGACACTCGATCGACGCGACGCGCTGCTCATCGCGAGGTTCGTTGGGACTTCTGAAGTCCGGGGCATCCGGATGAGCTCAGGATGTTTTGAACCGGAGACAAGATCCAACGCATAGAATCAACATACAAATGCAACACATATCATAATCATCCAAACGAAATACACTCCCCGAAAACTAACATAGACCCTGACAGTGGTAACCTGGAAGATTGTTTTCCTCTACCAACCAGTGGTTTTCAGGGTCCATGTGAGTTTTCGGGAGTGTATCTACCAAAAACACCCCACGTCATCGCCTCAGATCGTCAATGCAATGCCAGTCTGGGCAACCCTCGATCTGTTCACCGAGATTGCCCTTCACAGCATCTGCTAAACGGGTCGAAAGGGCTTGTCTGACACGGGACCTCGTGTGTTTTGGGTCATCCAGAATCATCCGCTGAAAACGGTTGTGTTTTACACACAAGACAGGATCGATTCACTTTCTTTCAAACATCCCTCAGGTAGTTTCTATGGGTCCCACCATGATATTCTAGACTGGATCTCCAAGCTAAACCAGTGGGCCAAGCGTGGCGTGGCGCACCCACCCCCTCCTCTCTCACCGGCGCCTTCTCCTCCGCGCCGCCCATCTGCGAGGCCATCCGCCCAAAGTCCAAGGCCGGCGGCACCGGTAGCAGTGCGGTGGCCTCGGCGGTGTCAACACCGCGGTGGCGACCGGGTCGGTCACGACAACAAATGTGGGGGACACGCCTCGGTTGGAAAAAAGGCAGAAGCACCCTGGGCAGAACCAAGTAGAAGTTAAGTAGAAGCGAAGCAATTCGACCACCCTGCCTGCCTGGCGACCTATTACCCAACTGTTTGGTTGGTCGCATGTGGAAAAGGGTCAGCTATATCATATCGTGTAACCGTTGGGTTTTCCATGGGCGGAGGGGAGAACTCGTTTTTATAGTCCATGGTATCAAAGAAGACACACAAACATCACCAGACCCACCCATTCTACCCGAAACACCGCCGTCCCTTGTTGCTTCCACATGTTCCTTCCCATGTCAACAAGGTCATCCATGTCTCCACCAGTTCATCCGGTGGACAGAAGGGTGGACGCTGCGCCTTTCTCCTCCGACGATTCGGCCCAGGCACGGTGCGCGCACGCGACTCGATGCTCCGCGCCGAGTGGAGGCGGCGCACCTCGAGACGGCTCGACCGGACCGGTCTCAGAAGCCGAAGCCGAGCCGAGTGGAGGCGCCCTGGAATTGGTGTGGAAGGATGGAACAAGGACTGAACACACCAATTCCGCCTCACCCGGTCACAAGGATTGAACCACCGTCCTCCAGTCTTTGAAACCCGGTTTCGTGGTCGGGAAATCGTGTCGTACCGCTTGGAAGCCCACTGGGCTGCATTGGATGCTGGTCCTGCTCCGTGGATGACCATTTTCTGATTACCAAACAGGTGGTGAACTCCACTTCCATGATCATTTCAGGAAGTCTAGAACTGTATTGGTGAAAACCCTCAAGTCATCTCAACTGTCAACTCGACGAATGACTCGTTCCTAAGAAAAGTGAACGACTGAAATCGACCAAATCTTAACTGACACTCTATCTTGCAGCAGGTGTGCCCCTCACTCACAAAAAGGAAACTGCGCTGTGCTTTCATCAAGTGCTGCCAGATTTTAGCAGTAGAAAAGGGTGTCTTAAAAGAAAGCTTGGAACACCGCAGCTTGGGAAGAGTATGAGGTGCTCACATCTGTGTCGCACTTTCTTTTCACCGCAAGGCAATGAGGCGCTGCCACCGTGTCGTTCCCATGAGAACAAGACTGAACAAGAACTCTGAAAAGGTACCATTGAAAAGTACCACCAGCAACTGATCATCCATGGGTTGAACTCTATATTTGAGAGGAAGGACAAATACAAACGTCTGACTAATGGCCACAAAATGCTGCTAGTGCAACAAGAAATCCAGGCAGAGTTGAAGGAAATAGTGTCGAAAAGCACGGTAAAGTCAATATGATCCATCCTAAACCAATGCACAGCAACGAGACCTTTTCGACCATGTGGAAAAGGATCGAATGTTGGCTCCCCAAAGCTCCGCAGAAGAAAGGAAAACAACAACTATTTCCAAACCGCCCAAAAAAACCTGATTTGGTCTTCATGTCCCTGACCTCTCCGACATGTCCCTTTCAAGTCCTTTCAGAGGTCCGAACAAGAAACAGAAACAAATCAAAATCATTCAAAATCCATAATTTGTTTGTACTTGTGTGTCTTCCGTGTTGCTTTCCTGGTTGGGTTCTTTTCCCTCTTCAGAGCCTGCACGACACAACACCCCATCGAATCCACTCCGAGCAGCTGCCCCGGCATTCGAGTGGGATCCGCCCAGACTGGAGGCCGAACTCCCACGCAGCACCTGGGTGTCTACGCGGGGAGCCGGACCACGGGGCCGGACACGGCCCAAGCGGCACGGAGGACGAGGACCATGGACGTTGTCCATGTTTCGTGTCATGG